GGCTGGGTGGGGGTGGGGGATGAGGGGGTGGCGGTGGGACTCACTGCTTAATGAGGACATGCAATTAAGCAACATTAGCTATAAAACCAACACCGCCACCTAGTGGCGATCTACGTCGCCTACGAAACACGCTGTCTTAAGCCTAAATCCCAAAACTCACTGGAGCGACCCTCTAGGACAGAGTAGAACTGCCCTTGCGGGTTTCAGGGGCTGCAGCCTTTTGCAAACCACATGCGTGTGAAAGTTGGACATTGGATCAGGAAGAACGATTTAGAGTTGGTGCATTTGAGTTCTGGTGCTGGGTAAGCACATTCAAAGTACCACAGACTGCCAAAAGGGCCGACAGTTACACCTGGGAGAAGCGCAGGCAGGAGCCTGCTCCTGAGAGACGAGGGTGGCCAGACTTCACCTCATGCACTGTGGACGTGCTGCCAGGAGAGACCCGTCCCTGGAGAAGGACGTCATGCTTGGCCAAGCGGAGGGGCAGCGGGAACGAGGAAGGCCCTCAACGAGACGGACGGACACAGTGGCTGCAACACTGGGCGCAGGGATAGACAATGCGGAGGAAGGTGCAGGACCGGGCCACAATGAGCCGGAACCCACTGACGACGGACACATCTTCATGGGAGCAGAAAGCCTCGTCTTTCTTCCGAGGTTCGGCTGGTTCATTTGGACTTCTGACCTCACAGCCCAGCACACAGCCCCTGGACCACCAAGGTGCCCGGAAGATGCACACAAGCCCAGGCTAAAGCCCTGGAGAAGCCAGAGACCCCAGCGCAGGTGAGCCGTTTCCAAGGTCTGGAGAGATGAGCAGAAAACGGGCACATGAAAATGCTCAGAGCGTCAGGAAGTGGTGGCAAAATGGGATTCAGAGACAATGGGATCGTGCCACCCACTTTTTGATGGCCCCGAGCACACTCCCCATCAGACACAGTTTGTCCTGCTGTCGCTGTGACGCTAGAGGCAATATCACCGGTATTTCAAGTACCGGCAGGATCCCCCACAGTGGAGAGGTCTCAGCAGAACGTCGGGACTCAGAGAAACTAGGAAGAAAGGCCTGCTAGCCTTCTTCTGAAAACCCAGCACATGGAGACCCTCTGGGCTGCAGAACACAGCCTGATGCGGGGCTGGAAGCGGAGCCCCCAGGGCAGAATGTCCTCAGAACCCACAGGGCCGCTGGCACGGCGCAGGCTGGGCAGCCTTCTGTTGTCACACCCGGGCTGGACTCCGGTGACGTGTATCCGTGTGAGCTTGCGGGCAGCCCAGAACAACTACACTGCATGTGGTCAGCTGTCCACTTAGCCCCTGGGGGTAACGGGCAGGTGGGGCTGGTGCAAAACAATCTCCCCTTCTTCTCGGAAGGCATCTGAAAAAACTGGCTGAATAGCAGTGGTGGGGGGGGGGCCTGCAGAAACACCCAGGCATCCCCCAGCCGGGAGGGGGAGGCCAGGGACACAACCGCATGCAGAAGGGCGCTGCCCATGCCAATGTGGAGGGGAGCCTGTCCGAGGGGCAGCAACCCCAGTGGTTGAAGCTCTGTGCAGGGGACACTTAGAGGCCCTCCAGGCGCCTTCCCAAAGGGGCAGCCTTGGATCACCACTGAGCCTCTCTGGGGAACTGTGGGCTGCACTTTGGGTGGCTCACCCAAAGATTGGCCGTTCAAACCCACCCCACCAGCTACACCAAGGGAGAAAGTTGAGGCTGCCTGCTTCCGAGGAGATGGACCGCCTGGGAATCCCACTGGGGCAATTCTTTTTTTTTTTT